TGTGTGTGTGTGTGTGTGTGTGTGTGTGTGTGTGTGTGTGTGTGTGTGTTAGGGGTGAGCCTTTGACCCCTTCACTCCTGTGGTCTCAGTGAGTGCCAGGCACACTTGTTCACTTGCACATTCATATATAATATAGTGTTAGAAGGGGATGTGCTGGGTACTGGAGGGAAACTTCCTGTTCCGTTTCTTGTGTGTAGATGAGATGTTTGATCTGTCGGCTTCCCGACTGCCAGGCTGGTCCCTCCCTTCTGCTCCCATGCCTTCCTGTCACAAGAGGCTGTATCTCCTCTGGGACTATAGGCTAAGATAAACCCCTTCTCCTCTCAGTGGCTTTATGGGACTGGTATTATGGTATGAGAAGACTAACTGATAAATAAGTAAGTAATAATAAGTAATAGTAAGTTCACACTGGCATCTCAAGGAGGAAGGCAGTTCTGGGTGGAGAGGGACCATGGAGAGTATCATGTGGCAGGAGAGGACATGGCACAAGTGTGCATCAGACAGGACCTTTGCAACTAGGAGACATGGTAGGTGAGGAAAGGCAGTAGAAGTGGGCGGGACATAAAACCACAGACATGTTGTCCATTTACAGAGTTTTAGCGTTGGCCCTGGGAATCATGGCTAAGCCACTGCAATGCCTTTAGCAGGAAGGGCAGTGACCAAGCTTGCTTTCAAGATGATCTTTCTCACTTCTGTCTGGGAGATATCTGGTAAGAGGCGAGTGGGCCATTGGTGAGGGTGTTGGCAGCTGAGAAAGTAAAGAGATGTCAGGAGAAGGAACTCAAGACGTAAACGGTGACATTGTTAGGGACTGGCGAAGGAGCACAAAGGGAGGAATGACAGCCACCAAGACAGACTCCCAGTGATCCCTGGCAAGGAGGACCTGAAGGTGACAGGGGAAAATGCACACCGCGTGTGGTTGTTGAAATCGGCGAGTGTCCCTGCCCTGTGCTTCTCTAGTTCCCTTGTGTACCCACACCAAATGCCTTAGAGAAACAGCATGGGGGAGGGGTTACTTATGTTGTCTCCTGGTTTCAGAGGCTTTGGTCCATCTTCAAGGGAGGAGAGTGGCAGAGAGGAGCGGTCTTTCAGTGGCTAGGAAGTACTAAAAAAGAATACGAAGAGAGCACTTTCAAGGACACGCCCAGTGACCTGCTCCTACAGCAGGTCCCCCTCCCCTGCAGTCATGCCAGGATACTATGAGTCCATCAAAGGGTTAAACATTTGCCTCGGCAGAGCTCTCATGATGGAATCTCATTATTGTAGACACACTCAGAAATGTGTGTATTATTTTCCTCGGCATTTCTCCCTCCAACCAGGTTGACAATCAAGACTAATTCCCATCCCCCGTGAAGCTTTGGCTCTGGGAACATAGTTCCTGGACTTATTTACCAGCTCCTCTCAATTCCTTTAGGGGATTGCTTTCATTCTGGATAATCCTATCAGACAGATCAATAGGTAGAGTTTTTAGCCAGAGACTGAACTCAAATTAGAATATAAGGTTTCAGAGTGAACTGTGCTTTATTTCTTCTCTGTTGGATGCTCTTAGTTTCCACGTTTATATCATAAGCAAAACACTGAGGCTAATGGAATTCTTGGAAAGAGAAGAGTATGTAAAGTGAATTTTTCTGAGCTTTCATGGGGAAAGTAATGTCCTAGCAAGGTAAAAGGGAGAAGAGCAGGGTGGAGCCACCAGCCCGCAGGGAGGGGTGTGGAGAAAGGACTGATGGGGGGAACAGCCCGGTGGAGAGGTGAAGGAGTGTAGGCAGTGTAACCTAGCTGTCCCCAACTTCTCCAGTGCTTGGGGACATTGCTTCCCTTTTCATGACCATTGGCATGAATCTGGAACCTCATCTCACCCTTGATCTCCTATCCAAAGTATTTCTGGAACTTTCCTATAATTCATTCCACTTGTATGATATATCCTAGTCACCTGCCATCTCCAAGCCTGTACTCTCTCTCAGGGTTGACGCTACAAGTTCATAACTGTGAGCTTAACTGCTGTTGTCCCTGTTCAGGTAAGTAGAGACAGTGGCCACTGTCAGAGTATGAGTAGTCCACAGACATGTAGCCATACACAGCCCCCCTTTCCCAGGCCTGGGTCATGGCTCATCCTGAGAACGTAAATTACAGTATTTAAGAAAATTTAGTGGAGGCTTAGAAATAGTAGCAAAATCACAAGTATAAAGAAAAGCTTGAAATTAGACACAGGATGTACTGTGTCCCAGATCTCATCACAAGATTGTCCATTAGTCATCTCTTTGACTAGAGTTTGGCAGAGTGCCAAGCACAGAGGCCACCCTACCTCCTTTCAACAGTGGATCCATCCTTAGACCTCTTCCAACCAGGGTCCACACCTCTGAGCCCTGCAGAGAAGGGTGCCAGCAAGGAAAAGGATTTCCAGTTTCTCATCCGGCATGTAAGGAACTTGTAAAGTACCACTCTGTCCTAACCACAAACATAAAGTTGAACAAACAAGTCAGTAACAACCCTTCTTGTATCTGCCACTGATAGGAGGTCACGGAGAGAACTGTTACCTTTAGAAAGGGAAAGAAAAGCCAAAGGGTGGGTGTCGTGGGACAGAAAATCATAGGACCAGTGAATAGAGACCTTCTTGGGAAGCAGTGCTGAGATATGAAAACCTAAATGAGAATTCTCAAGCATCAAAGGCTCAGGGTAGACAAACCAGGTTTTAAAAACCCCAGGGGTACCCAGTCATAAGAGCCACACCAGTTTTGTGATTTTTACCCCCAGATGTTCACTCACATTATCAGAGACCCCTAATGCAGGAGAAAAACATTTTGAAATATCCTACAGCACTGATGATTCTTAAGACCAGGATCAAAATACAAGGGAGTTTTCTAGAGTGTAAACTAATGAGGATATGTTAAAAGTCATCTGACCTCAGAGAGGAAGAAAACAGTCAGTTCCAGGCAATAACGGCCACTTCATCTCACCTGCAAAGAGAGAGAAGGCTGGAACACATGGCTGAAGTTCACGTAAGTGCCAGCTCGGTTGAAGAACCAGGCCTGCCCATGGATCAGCAACGCTGCTGCAAGATGCTTTCACTCCCACACCTTGCCACCACACCTCTAATGGCCCGTTGGCCATGGTCCACCTTGTTTAGTACATCACATCTGTCTGTCAGAAAGAAAAAAAAAACAATTACAAAGCATGTTAATAAGCAAAAGGAAAAAAGATAGTTTTATGAGAGAAAGCATTAGAATTAGGAATGTGGGGATGTTGGGATTGTCAGACTGGAGAGAGAAAACACCTGGGTTTAATACATGAAGCATTCTAACTGGGAAGGGAGACAGTGGGGTGGGGGTGGGGGACAGATGGACATGTAAACAGATGGAGACTATGAACCAAGAGGAAATACTAGAAATAAAAAATATTAACAGAGATGAAGAATGCCTTAGATGGGCAGGGTGTGACTGGAGATATACAGATAGCTCAGTAGACATCAGCAAAGCTGAAAAATGAAGGAAAATGACTGTGAAAAATATCTAGAATGTATAAGACACAATAACAAGAAAACTTGCACAATTGGGAATATCGGAAGGAAGAAGAGGAAAAGGACGGAAGCAATAGATGAAGCCACAACAGAGAATTCCTGCCAATCAACTCCGCCAGACACTGGATCCTCCCACAGGCATATGAGCTTCAAAAGGTACACACTAAAATTTTAAAACCTTGAGAGAAGCCCAAAGACAAAGACGTCCTGTTGAGGGATAAAGATAAAAGCTGTATCCAGCTTCTCTTCAGAAACGATGTAGACAAAGAGGGGGAGGGTACCGATTTAGAATTCTGATCAAGTCGCTGTGGCTTACATATGGTTTGTCATGGGTTTATGTGGGTTCCCATGCTAGAGATGTCCCTCGTGGGACAATGCTAAGAGATGGCAGGGTAAAGCAGGCTGTCCGTAGGTCACTGGAGACACTGCCCTGTAATGATTGAAACTGTTCTCAAGAAACTCATGAGTTTCACCCTGATGAAAGGGTTGGAAAGAGCAGGCCTAGCCACCCACCCCTCACCCCACCCCCATTCCCCCACGCTCCATTCCGTGGCCACTCCCTCTCATGCACACTCTTGGGTGTGATGCCATAAGACAAGAGTTCCTTACCAGAGCCAAGACAATATTACAGCATGCCTTTCAAAGCTCAAGAACTGTGAGCTAAATGAAACTCTTTTATTTGTAAGGTAGTCAGCCTTGGGCATCTCATAAAACAAACAAAGCTAACAGGCTAATAGACCTGTAAAAACTAACCTACCAAAAAAGCAACTTTCCTAAATGAACAGAAATCAAGCATTTGTTGCTGATAGGCCTAGCTAATAAGAAGGAATGGATTTTTTTTTTAATTCTTTGAGAGAAGAAAAATTAAATAGGCCAGACACTCAGGTCTACATGAACAGAAGAGGGTGCTGGGATTATGGGCATGTGCATCTGTGGCTTTTTTTCATGGTGCTGGGGATTGAACCTACAACTTTACACATGTAGGCAAGTATTCTACCACTGAGCCATATTTTCAGCCCTCTTATTTATTATTTTTTATTGCTTTGACACACAACACTTTGTTCAAAATTATAACCTCAATGCATTCTATTGTTTATGATTATACTTGTGCATATGTTTTTATGTGGATATTTTTGTATGCATATGCATAACTTAGTGACCATGGCACCAGAGCAGAAGGTAAATTTAGAGTATTTTATTCTGTTTTTGAAATTTTTATTTATTTATATTTTATGTGTATTGGTGTTTTGTCTGCATGTATATCTGTGTGAGAGTGTCAGATCCCTGGAACAGGAATTACAGACTGGTGTGAGCTGCCATGTGGGTACTGGGAATTGAACCTGGATTCTCTGGAAAAGCAGCCAGTGCTCTTCATCACTGAGCCATCTCTCCAGCTCTGAGTATTTGATTCTTATAAGAGACACTACCCATGAAGTGGTAAAGTGTTATCTGAATGTGATACTGAATATATTTATTTATTTATTTATTCATTCATTCATTCATTCATTTATTTATTTATTTATTTACTTTTGGTTTTTCGAGATATGGTTTTTCGAGATAGGGTTTCTCTGTGTAGTTTTGGTGTCTGTCCTGGATCTCTTTCTGTAGACCAGGCTGGCCTCAAACTCACAGAGATCTGCTTGGCTCAGCCTTCCTAGTTCTGGGATTAAAAGCATGTGCCACCGCTGCCTGGTGATACTGAATTTATTAATGATATGTATTGCAGCCTCTAGGATAACAATAAAAAATATATAATATATAATATAAAAAGAAGAAGAAATAATACAATCAAGCAGAGGGAAACAGTTATTTAAAATTCTCATTTATTACTACCAAAAAGCAGAAAAAGAGTGGCAGATAGAAATCAGGAGAAAGGCAGTTGATAGAAAACCTTAACAAATGTAGAGATAACTATCCAACTACATCAGTAAAAACCTTCAGTGACAGTGGTCTAGTTATAATAATTAAAAGATATTCTTGCGTGGGGTCAAAAATTAATACCCAATTATATGCTGCCTAAAAGAAATCCACTTAAAGATGAAGCTGCATATGGATCAGAAGCAAATGGGCAAAGATCAATTTGCCATGCTCACTAACTCTAATTTCAAAAACACATCAGAATTCAGAGAAGGAAGCTTTATCAGAGACGGAGATGGACATCCTGTCATGACCAAAAGGTTCATTTTTCAAGGAAAGATAATCCATAGCGTATACACAAACAACGAGAGAGTCAAATTATGTGAAGCAAGAGCTGATTGGACAGATGCATCCGCCCATGCTGTTGGAAACTTCAGCACCCTATATCAGTAAAGGACGCACCCAGATGGCAGGAAATCAGTAAGGCCAGAGTCGAGTTCAACAGCATCATCCATCAGCTACCAAAACACTTCATCCAACACAACAGAGAACACATTCTTTTCAACCTAGTAAGGAGCAGTCATCCGGATAGACCATATTCCAGGCCATCAAACACATTTTAACAAATTTGAAAGAATGCTAACCATACAGTGTTTCCTCTAAGACCTCAATGCAATTAAACCAGAAATCAATTAACAAAAAATAAATGAAGAAAATATTTGGATACTAGACATCCTTCTAAATGACCTATAAATGAAAGACTACATTTCAAGATAAATTTTTAAATTTGAAACTAAAGGGAAATAAAAACACAATTTACTCAAAATTAGCTCAATGCACTAAAAAAACAGTATATCATTTTGAATGTGTTTATTAGAAAAGAAGAGAGAAAGAATTTTAGTAGTCAACTTCTGTGGTGGGCAACTAGAAAAGATAAGCAAATTACATCCAAAATAAGTGTGGGGAAATAAATAAAACTTGAAACAAGAATTAAAAAGTAAAGAAAAGAAAATAGGAAGCTAATAGAGAAAAACAAAATTTGTTTATTTGAAAAGACCAGTGAAATCAGATTATATATAGTTAGTTGATCTTGATTATCAAATGATTGGACTGAGAGATACTCTAGGGGAACAGTAAAGCTTACTTCTGACTGTCTCTATAAAGGAGTCTCTAGAAATTAAGTAAGGGAAAAGAACTGTCCTGGAAATAATCAATAGAGGAACAAAGAAGAGAGCCTGTAAGAATAGATG